AGGGACTATATATTTCTGGGCGAGTCCAAGTTTGAATTTTGTGCAGATTACAGGTAAGACAGGTTATCAGCCTTACAAACCGATGTGTAATGACTATCATTTCACGACAGTATTATAAGAAGAAGCAGGAATAAAGGGATGAATCAAAGAAGAATATTAGTAAGAAAGCGAGGAAAATTAGAAAATAAAAGAAGAGGGAAATGACCCAAAAAAATTGTAGAAAAATAAGTTTTTCATAATGATGATATAGATGATGATAATGCCTAACATAATAATTTATTTGTTAAAGATCTGATGTATATTGGTATTTCAGGCATCTCTATGTACTGAAATCATTCGAGAACTTCGCTTCGCCATCCGCTGTGGAGGTTCCTCCAAACGACTCAAAAATAGGAACAAAACAAACTGTACAAGTTGCCAGCATACAAAGATACAACTAAATCAGGTCAGTTCGCTGGTGTGAATTGTCACCATTCATCAGCTAACTGCTGTCACCAGTAACGAAGATTGGCTTCAGCTGATCTCCAAAACTGTATATTTTAATTGCGCATTCTGACATATGTTTTGTCCATATCTAGATGTTATCTTGCCGCCTGTATTTGTATAAACTCTTGCTCACCTGGTTTCAAATTTTTTCTAGTGCTCATTACAAGTTATTTTATTATTTTAATGAATATTAAATTATGTGATATCCCTTTTCGCCATATTCAATATTTTTAACACGCGTTCACATAATGCACAGCAGATAATTTTGCTACAGACTGAATCAATTTTAATAAAACATTAAGTCCTTTTAACCCCCCCCCCCCTCCTCCCCTTTCTTCCAGTATCACTAACCCTCTATACGTTCTGGTGTGTGCTCCAGTTGTAATTTTCGGGAAAACAATACCAGGCTACTGCTCCATAAAGGAATGTCGTAAGAGGCGACTTTTTAAGGATTTACTGTAGTCATATGTGTTGTTGGCCTGAAAGATATTACAGCCTATCTGTAAATCACAATATAACCTTCCAACCGCCCTATAACAGCTAATGCAGAAGAAGATATCCTTTACACAGATTTTGTCTCATGAAATATGCAAAGCTGTGAATGCCAGCATCTATGTAGCACTTACAAAGGGTCGCACCCAGTGCCTCTTCAAGATCTTAGGCTGAAAGACAGAATAGGACTACAGAAGAAGAAGAAGAAGAAGAAGAAGAAGAAGAAGAAGAAGAAGAAGAAGAAGAAGAAGAAGAAGAAGAAGAAGAAAAACATTTGGTTTCTATACCTCTAGTAAGTAAAGAATTGATTTCCACGCCTTCAGGGGCATTGGGTATATAGGGCTAGACCTGTATTTTATAGACCAAACTGCACTTGGTGGTTATTATGGTCAGCATCATGCCGGCTGTATTTACTTCCCAGGACTGTACCTGGTACCCACTCAAGGCTGGGTTGACCTGGGAGCTAAGGTCATTTTTTGAAGAAAAAAAAGTCCGACCCCTGTCTGGACCCGAACCCACGACTTTCTGATAATGGCAACACCAGCCTGGTGTCACCTGTATTCCTGTGCGGTTACAGATGTCAGTTTATCTCTGTTACAAAGGTTAAAGGTGAGAGGATTGACTTGTTTGCATTGTGTTTTATACCATAGGGCTCGGTCTCTTTCCGCAGTAAGCCAGATAGCTACCAAAAGCGTCACACAAAGCACGAACTACATAGGTCCAACGACGGTCCCCAGGGATCGTCACAAAATTCCACTCGTGAACCGAACAAAACTACTGGGAGTGCCAGGCAAAAGGCTTGACCACTTTGTCAAGGAGGTACCCCTTCTCTTCCCCACACTCCCCCCCCCCTCCCCCGTCACTCACCCCTAAATCTCTTTTATCCATAATACCAACATATTACACCCTCAGCACAAACTCAAATTTACTTCTTCTTAGAGACTGCAATACAGTGGAACCTCGCTTAACGAGCATAATTCGTTCCAGAATCATACTCGTTATGCGAAACACTCGTTATGCGAAACAATTTTTCTCATGTAAATTAATGTAAAATACGATAATGCTTTCCATGTAAAAAAAAAAAATACTCACAAAATGCTATGTATAACGTTTATTCAAAGAAAATTATATACATATTGTTAAGGAGAGAGAATCATCTTCATCCTTTCTTCAAACACGGAACGAACCCACCTGGAATGCGAATTTGATTTTCAGAAAAAAAAATCCAAATAATTATGATACATAGCTAATTATTTTTTTTTTACTAGAAAGATGTCCAGAGAAATTAGTTTTTGCCAACGCTTCAAAATTTTGCGAAAATGCGACACATCATTATCATTTAATAAATTTGCAACGCCCATAACCACTTCCTTATTAGGGTGATGCTTCTCAGTGTAAGATGCAACAGTTTGCCATGCTTTCAGCATTTCTCTTATTGTTGCTTTTTTGCTACCTCTACCTCTTTCTCCTCCTCTGACAAACTTTCTTCCAAAACGTTTTGCTGTGAAACACAATGCAACTTCATAAGCTCTTCGGTGGTCAGCTCTTGGATGTGCTCTTCCACAAGCTCTTCCATATCAATGTTATCCACCTATAATCCCATGATAGTGGCCAAAGACACAATCTAGTTGGCTACAGGTTCAACATGTACTGTGTTGAACCTATCAAAGTCACAAATCGACAATGCTCTCCGGCCAAAGCTTCTTCCAAGCAGAAGCTAGGGATCTCTTGGTAACCCCTTTCCCCGCCTTGTTGATCATCTTGAGGTAGGCAACGATGTGAAAGTTATTTTACCAAAACTCTCTGATAGTGACGTTGGTCCCTTCAGTCACATGAAAACAATGATCGAAGAGTTCTTTAGTGTTGAGCTTCCTAAAGTTAGAAATAACTTGCTGGTCTACTGGCTGGAGTAACAGAATGGTGTTGGGAGGCAGAAACTGGATCTTGATGAACTTAAATTCTTCAGAGAGATCATCTTGTAGGCCTGGAGGATTCATGTACATATATCACAATATAACATAAGTTTGAGAAAATGTGTGATCACAAGCGACACTACGATGCTACTGGAACGAGTGCTAAACACAGACTGATGTAACATGCGCACAATTCGGGACTTTCCCTCTCCTTGCCACTCGTTATGCGAAACGTCGCTCGTTAAGCAAGTCATTTTTTTTATAGTTAATTTTGCTCTTTATGCGAATTACTCGTTATGAGAGGTGCTCGTTAAGTGAGGTTCTACTGTACTTCTTATATATGCCTATATATGCCTAAACATGCCTTCTTATATATTATACCTAACAATCACAATCACTTATCTCTCCCTGCAGGGATCAAGGCTGCAGTCTCCCAATGGCGTCCTCCAGCCGCCACAGGGCAGCAAACACATAGCTCCGGTGCCTTCCATAATAACTACAGCAGTTCACAGTGAACCTGACTATGGCCGTGAACACAAGGGAGATTATCTGCAAGTTGACTGTAGCGATCACGAAGTATGATATATGTCCAATGTTGGAGCACGGCAATGTGTGCCCTTTACAGATTAAACCAGCTAGTGTATGTCTGTACCATCAACGATTAACTACACTAAAAATGGCGGATAGCCGATTTCATTTGGAAAAGCATCTACTTATGCAATATTGCATCTACAATGCCATTTTTCGTGACTGACTGACTGCATCAACAGTAAGCTGTAATTGCGAAATGACCATTCTTCTTAGTTTAAAAATATATATCCTTACGTCCTTTTCAGGACGTAATTTTTTGTTATTTGAAGCCCCACTCTGGCTTTTGCCAGGGGCCGCAATATAGGCAGGCCATAAATATGGCCAATTGTCTGAACGCGGTTTCTGGGACCTCTCCACGGTGATCCTCATCCACATGGTGGCACTTTGTGTCATCGGGTGTTTATCGCTTGTGTGATGTCCTGGTGGGGTAGAAAGTCAGTCAGTCAGTCTTAGTTTAATTTGTTACTACAATGCCTCAATATTACCTTGCACTTGAACCGGAATAGCGGCACTCTTTCACTGTATGTCAGTGCATGTTAATCGCTCAGTGTGCGGTCCTAGTGGCGTTCATCTTCACACCAAATTGGAAACTAGGTGTTGGTACATCTAATGGCTGCCTTAGCATGCGTGAGCTTCAAGATTTTGTTGGGTCTGATAAGTCTTTCCGTAGTTTTTTTTTTTTTTTTTTCGTTTCAATTTTTACATGAGATATTTTGAAGAAGTTTCACTGGCAAACGAACTGAGCAGTTATGCGATGACCCATCTGCGAGGAAGCTGGAATTCTGACTAACCAATAATAAACATTGCAATGTCCCTTTGAAATCTATCTGAGAATACAATACCCATTTGAAGTCTACTTGAGATTGCAGAGTCTGTCTGTAGCCCTCATGAAAGACGGCTTTCACTGTGGAATAGTCCTCGCTTTCATAAAAACAGCAGTGGAATTAAAGCTTCCCAATTTACAAATTCTCTCACATTCCTTCAAGTTATCATCACCCACCCTTGTCTGCAGAGGACTGCAGGTAAACCAGGGGGCTATTGTGACCATTACGTGATAATTATATAGCAGGTCCTTTGCAGAACGTCACTCTTATCCTGGTGTGCCTGTGGAAACTGTTTCTCACCAACTCTTCCATCTCATGCACTTTACTAAGTTTCGTTTTCTGGCTATAGTAAAAAGTCTACTGGAACATTAATGTAGTAATTTCCCCTTTCTACAGTCACAAGACTTGAGTCATTGCCTTCATCTTTCGGCAACCTTTTAGATTTGTAGCCATTATAGGTGTCTTATTACTTATTTTTTGGACGTTGAATGATATCTGGGATTTTCCTTGACCTTCTGCTATCTCGACTGAGATGTGTAGTCTTAGGTTGTCAACCCTTAATATAGCAGCCCAGAGAGAGAAAATATGGACGGAACAGAGCAGTCATACGTTCACCTGAAGTCTGCTGTGTGACGACTGCCATTTAGAAACAGTATCAGACTTCTGTTCAGTGATGACGTTCATAGACATGCTAGTGGGTTTGCAGTTCACTAACAATTCAGAACTTCATCACATAATTCTTTTAGAATTTAGCATCACGGTTGGAACTAGAGCAAACTTCATCCTCATTATCATAACACCACGTATCGTTAGGTCACTAGTGTCTGTTGACTGATCAGCTTTCTGCACCTTTGGCGGTCAGTTGCGATGGACTTCATGGTTGCATGCCTGAAGCCTCTCCAGACATTCAGGTTCTGTAACCAGGTCTTTCTTGGTCTGCCTCTTCTCTTCTTTCCCTCTACTAAGCTCTGCAGTGTTGTTTTTGAGAGGCGGTTAGATCTTATTACATGTCCATACTACTGCATTTTTCGCCTTTTCACTGTAGTTAAAAGAGGTTCATTGTTGCCAGTGTGCTTTATAATTTAATGCCGAATCTCTTCGTTGGCAATGTGGTCTCTGTATGATATGCCAAGAATTCTTCTGAAACATCGCATTTCTAATGCTTGTATCTTGCTGTGAAGTTCAGCTGTTAAGGTCCACGTTTTACAGCCAAATGCAAATGTACTAATAGCCATCTTACAAATACTTTTTCGTTTTCGTTGGTTGCCAAAAACTGGATGCTTGGCACATTGTGTTGTGGTTTACAGAAGAGCTGTGATATCTGCACTTTTTGGCACACACATCCAATTTCAGCAAACCCGTACATTGCCTTTTATTAAATGTATGTTAGGGGCATGTTCCTCCGCATCCCAACCCAAAACTGAAACCGAGAACACACATGAGGATAATAGAGGTGCACACGACTGACAAAATGTTGCAGAACAGTCGTCTTTGCGCATAGTTATGAAAGTTGTACTGATACACTCAATTACAATAAAACATATTGTAAAGAACAAAGAAGGAACTTTTAGAAGTAGGAACTTTTACAAGTATCACTTGTCACTGAAACATGCATCAACAATGAAACTAACCAGACTGGACTGTAGTTCACATTGTAATCATCGGATGTTGAATGCTGAATTAAGCGTCAGACATCACAGAACTCAGGACATCCCCATAAGCGCTCCGTCCCAATAATCAGCAGCAAGTGAAGAGTTCCAGTTTTGATGGCACTAGTAACTGTTTGATTGTATATCTGACTCGCATTTCCCGTCGGCTAGATTCCCTGGTAACTCCTCACAGTGCCATTCTCCTTACACTGTAATGATCTATTTGTGCCTCCGCACTGGTAACTCATATAACTTCGGATGCCCTCCTATAAGTATTTTAGGATTTACTTTTGTTGTATTCTTAGCCGAATAATGTCTCTTCGAGTCGCCGAAGGAAAGAGACAAAAAGGTTTAAAGACATTATGCCTGACAGAATAATCATCCGCGAAAAACTTAAGGGGAAAGGAAGCATTTTGGAGTAAGAAGTGGTTTCATTGAAGTATTTGACTGCAAGAACCAACTTTTGTTGTAAGTCACTGTGATCTAAACCATCTCGGGCAGTTTGTGTCTTGAAATATTTTCTACATTATTTTCAAATGTTTTGGGAAATGAACAGAACGATAGACTGGCTGGTTCTGCACAACTTAATGGGAAACTGATGCATGATGAGCTAGGTCAATTCCCTTTAGTAGTAAGCAAACACTGCAGAAAAGCGAATAGATCATTACAGTGTGGAGAGAATGATGCAGTGGGGAACGAGCGGGAGATTTGGCTGATCATTCACATTTACAGAAAGGGCTAGATGAAACGAACAAATGAACGTAATCCCCCCCCCCTCTCTCCCCAAACCTCCCCTCAGGGATCACACACTTGGCACGCAGACCCATCTTACATTAGATAGACATACGTTCAGATTGTAGATTTTGCCTGTCTGCTGATGAATAGGAAGGCTGGGGTCTCAGTTTTTTACTTCAATTAATAATTACGAAGTATATACAAAGAAAAGGATTCTATGGACTGAATTATTTGATGTGTAGTGTTTATGATCTGTTAACGAACGAACACATCTGAATTTAGTGGGAACCCTATTTTGCCTTGTACTGGGGCATATGGTGCCTTCTTCTTGCAGATTTCCTTAATGGTTTCATTTGAGCATGTTTAAAGTTTGACTCGATTACTCAGGGGCTGTAAGATGCCATTCCAGCGGTTGCCCTGAAGAGCTGAATTTGCTATTGAATGTGAAATGTCGGGAAAGAGAGGGTACTCGTGGCATTATTCATTAAAATTATAATCGACACGATAAAGAGATTAATAGAAAAAAAAACTCTTCATACAGATCTCGCACAGCGATGCTTCGCGATAGTTGTGGGTAGAGACGTTTAATGATTTTCTATATTGTGTTCATTGTATTTTGTTTTCCTGTGTGGTATAATTCACAGAGATTGATGTGTACTGTTAACTGATAAAAAAAATTAACACTGTTGCATACTGGATAAAACCCATAGATGCCCTGTCTCCCACATCAAATGTGTTTGTGTTTAGATGATATCTGTCCATTAGCACACTGGTTGTGCACACCTTGTACTCATCATTTTTATGTGTATTTTTTTCTGCAGCCACCCTTCATTCCAAATGCATGCAATCGTACACTTATTGTTTTATCTAACATCGAAACTTCCATCATAATTCGTTCATTAATGGTCTTTAGTATGCCTGCCTTGTCAAAATGAATGAGTGTTCCTATCACTATCGCTTTCATAGCACACACTAAAAGTATGCTATGTGGAAGATCATCTCTGGAATCGAAGGTATGTATATATATATATATATATATATATATATATATATATATATATATATATATATATATATATATATATATATATATATATATATATATATATATATATTGTTTCCCATATATGAATATAAAGGAGCGTACATTTATTAAAGGGATTTAATAAGTGTACAAAAAGAATGTGTATACGAAGGGAAATAGCTGATAAAAATAATACAATAAATACTGTAAATGATCTATGTTGAGGTTTACGTCATGGCGGTTAAAGTAACGTGAATTTCCCCAAATAGAGTGTCACTTTTCATTCACAAGTTTGTTGGGCTAGTCGACTTTCCTGAAGGTTACGGGTGTCCCCGCTCTGTTGTTTGCTTTCTGTGATGTCTCGCATTTACGTTTTCATTCCGATAAAGAGAATGCCTGTGACATAGGTTGCAGCACTCTCTAGGGGAGAGTGTTAGGGCCAGTTTCTCCATGCTTTTAGAGCGTTAAAAGCGCTGGCGTGCTGAAATATACAACACGCGATATCAACGGCATTGCGGAACACCGCCGTAACCTTGATCCAGGGTGACAGATTCAGGAACTATCAATCAGAAGTGATCTAGTGTGTATATAACCGGGGCGAACGAGTTTCGTAATGCCGGGTTCAATCCCAGCCACAAAGCGTCATTGCTGTGATCCCAGTCTTGCGTTGGTTTCGACAATGGTACTAAGAGCTGAATGTTAAGAAGGCAATGGCAAACTACTGAATTTAAAATCTGCCTAGAAAAACCAAAATAGCCA